ATTATTCTATGTACAAGCAATCACTAATGTGAGCACCTTTTGCAATGGGAACTCGAATTTTGGTGTGCCATGTTATGAAAGATTAGCCCCTGCTACTAGACCTAACCCTGATCCTATCCATAAAATGTTCTACAAAAACAAAAATAAGGTATCAAACAAAAAGATGAAATAATCTTCCAATTTTACCCTTCAACTAGAGAAATCATTTGCATAAACAATAAGATAACTCGTTAAGTCATTATCTTTATTTAAGTAATTGAAATGTTCAGATTTTTTTTTTTAACAAATCTAGCAACATAACAACTTTCCTTAAAATACATGAAAAATGTCCCAAAAACTTTATAAATAGGACAGAAGGAGTGATATGAATTTTTAAGTTGAATTGACTTTAAAATAAATGAGTTTCAATAAAAATGATGAGACTCAATTTCTTTTTTGGCCCCATTAAAAATCAGCAAGTTGTTAGAAAAAAGACTGGGCAATTTTCACTTTTACAGACCAAAGAGTCTCCTTGACAGTGCTATTTTTTTTTCATAACGTAAATATTCGAGTTTACACTTGACTAAGAAAAACATAAACTAGAGTAAAAAGAAGAATTGTCACCTGCCAGGACTTATTTTTCTCTCTATGGCTACAATAGGGGAGAAAAGACAAGAAGGCATCGATATGAATTTACTGATTCCCACTGTTTTTGAAGGAAATGACATAGAAAATATAATTGTTAATGACATTTTATTCCTCAACTATTTCCATAGAAGCGTCTCGTATTGTAAACTTTTTTTCTAGGTGATGTCTTCCTTTAATATTAAAATAGTGCAAAATGTTATATACAAGGACACAAAAAATTATAAATAAATATCCTATAAAAAATTAATATTGATTAAATTTTCTAACTTAAACATAAATTTTCTGATTTGCATGGTACTTAATTGCTTGTAGTATGAGGTTGTATCAGAAATTTTTGTGCTAATTTAAATAAAAAATATTTTATTTAAATAGCTTTCATATTTTTGCTAGTACTTAATTTACTTGTCATACTGTCTCTTTTTTATAACATTGGTCTTTTACTGTTCTTTAATTTCGCCCCTCATTTAGTTGCGTTAGAGTTACAAAAGATGAAGTTTGGCCAAAGAAAAAAGAGTTACAAAAGATGAAATTCTTAATTGGATTAAACTAATTAAATTGTTGAATTAAATGAGGGTAAAATAAAAAATATTATTAATTTTTTTAAAAATTACAAAACGACTTATAATATTCATGAAAAATTTTATCAAAGAAAGACCATCACAATAAACCAGAATAAGTGCTACTCATTCTTAAATTACTAAGTAGTAATTATTTAAATTATTTTTTATAGGATTTTATTATATTAAAAAATAAACTGTTGAGGTTCAATAATTGAGGGAATTTCCTCTGTATTTTACAGCTCATTCATTGATGCAATTTAAAAAAAGTATCATCTTTGAAGAAACTTCTGTTAGGGGAGGTGGATCCTTTTACAAGGCCTATTGGTAGGATTCTGGATACAAATGGTGAGTGGGGTTTCCTTCAAACCAATGAGATTGGATAACTGTATGATGATATGATCCCCTGTGGGTCTTTCTGAATGTTTGTATAGGGATGAGAAGGGCTTAGTATGCCCGAGGATTCTTGTTTAGTTCTGTTTTGGGCTTTTTGCTCCTTTGTTTAATCAAAATACAAAACCAAAAAAAGTCTCATCTCATCTTTCTATTCATGTTCATGCATTTTCAAGTCTAAGTCAATTGATATATCATCTGGCGTAGAGGAAGGGGCTGCACAAAATATAATATAGGGTCTTCCTCAAACATAAAATATACCTTGCCATTTTTAATTAACTCATATTTATAATTCTACTTTACTACTATGATAAAATTAATGGTCAAAATTTCAAGTAAATTTTTATGACCTGAACTTAATTCTTTAAGCCCTTATGCCTAAACATCAACCAAATGGTTGCCAAAGATAATATACAATGGTATTTGATGAACTTGTTTTTAAGTTACCCAAGTTATCCGTACAGTTGACAGTCATGAGACTAATTCTTTGAGAAATCTAAGTGTCATTTAAGGGGGTTTTCTCTCCTAAGTAAAACTTTCTATACACACATCAAAGAATGAATTCTAAAATAATGCTTAGGTGGCCTAGATTACTACCATATATGCCATATCCATTTGGTCGTATTTGATGAACTTAATATCAACAGTACATGACCAAAACTCCCATAAATTCAAGACCTTTGTTGGATCTTATAAAGAGCAAAGCTAGTATCAAGGGTGAAATTATAAGTAAAAATATATAAATCATTTTTTGTTGATATTTTATTGTACCTAAAAATAAATCATTGATCATTCTTAATTTAACTTGGGCTAATTTTTTAAGTAACTCAACACTTATTTTTATCTAATTAAAAAATAAAATTTATAATAAAAATTGTTAGAGAATACATGGCATATTCAATCCTAAAAAAAAAAAGGATCTACATTATTCTGTCATTTGGATACTCACACTAAGTATAACACAAGGCTACTGGGCACTCTAATATGGCCTAGACCATTTTATAATTCATCATTAACTTTAAAATAGATATAGTGTTAAAAGTGTTAATTCGCTCTAAACTTTTTTTTAAAAAAAAAGTGTTGGGCACCTTGAAATTAAGGTGGGGCAATATTACCCTTCATGTATTGAAAATGGAGCAATATCACCCTAAATTTACAAGAAAATGACCAAAAATTTACAGAAAAGAAACTTATGAAAATTAATATTGATTAATCCTTAAATTAAAAATAAACTTTAATAAACTAATACTATTTTTTACCCATACAGAAAATATAAAAATATGATTATTTTAACCAACTACTGTGTGGTTGTCCATGTTGCTCACTGTTAACATGATGTGGGAGAAGGTAGTTTGACTATCTCATAGATATATGTGATTATTTTACATTTTAATTACTCCCTTTTAGGTGTTGGGTGTTCCTCCGAAAATACATCAAGAATAAATATACACCCTTACCCATTAATATTTAATATTGCATGTCAAAAAGTAGAGAAGGTAGGTTATAAGTATAGAAGGTAGGTTATAAATTAATATTAAACAACAGAAACATGGTTACAAATTGCTAGAACTCTCAACAATCGATCTAGTTAACTTTTAATATTTCCTACTGATGGCCTAGTAGCCTAGTGACATATATGGTATGCTTGAAAGTATATGTTGGAATTGAAAGGAATGTTCATTGATGGAGTGACATGGGGTGGAGTGGGATGGAGTGGAACACAATGGAACATTCCATTGTTTAGGAGTTTTATCAAGGGAATAAATAATTTTATTTAATCATTATTTAAGAATAACTGTAAAATTAATATATTTAAATTGGATATAATTATGTTTTTCAGTTTTAAGGTGAGAGGGAGTGAAAGAGTGAGAAGGGTGAGAAGAATGGGGGATATTTTATAATAATATTATTTATATTAGGCCATTCTATCATTTGAGGGGTTAGAAAAAATGGGTTTAGGATGGCTAAGATAGTTTGGAAGGCCACCTTGAGCCATTCTACTCCCTCATTTTAAAAATTTCTTCCAAACAATGGTATCAAACTTCTAGTCATCTCACTCCATTCCATTCCATCATTAAAAAAAAAAAAAAAGAAACTTGCAAACACTATCATAAGCTCTCTTGTAAATGGGAGCTTGTGTGAGTTGGATTCTGCTATTATTAGTAATCTTAGGCTCCTATAAATAAAAAAACTTATAATATTTCCTATTACAAATTAAAAGGACCAAATTCACTTAAAATTTTGTAATTAGAGGGTTTTAATATAAACCAAATGATGGGTAATTTTCTCTTTTTCAGGGCACATAATTTCCTTGACAGTGTCATTTTTCCGTAGCATAAATATTTGAGCTTACAGTTGACTAATAAAAACATGAACAAGAGTAAAAAGATGAATTGTCCCCTTTCATGACTTACTTTTCTCTCCTTGATTACAATAATGAGTAAAGAAAGCATAGGACATGATTGATATGGATTAACTGAACAACTCTATTTTGAATCAAATGACATAGAAAATAGGATGGCAAAAAATATTTTTTCCCTTTAACTATTTGCATAAACGCGTATAGTATTTTACTCTTCTTTTGTAGGGCAATACTGCTCTTTAAAATTTGAAAACAGTGCAATGCTGCATCAAGTATTAACAAGTATTAACTTTGACTGTTGGTTGACTGAAAAGAATAACCAAAAAATCTCAAAAATTATAGAAAATGACTCAAAAAATTATAAATAAATATCAATTAAATCCTCTAAAGTATAAATGTTCAGATTTATAGCTGCTTAATTGCCTATACGATGAGGTTGTATTAAAAAAAATTTCATTGATTTTAGAAACAATTAACGGAATTACCAGTTTCACTCAATCCAGCCCCCACTAGAATTTTTCTGCAAATTTAGATAAAACATATTTTAATTTAATAGCTTTCATTTTTTTTTTGTTGCTTGTACTTAATTTAGTAGTTATATTTCCTCTATTTATATTGGTCTTTTTAAAGTTCTTATACATAGATCAAAAAAATATAATAAATTTGTAAAAATATGACATATTTTATTAAATTTTGCCCTCATTTAAAAGTTTTAGTTATATTAAATAAACGAGTTAAATTGTTGGATTAAATGGGGTAAAATGAAAAAATAAATTATTGAATATTATTTTGAAATTCCAAAAATTCTTCTAATATTCACAAAAAAAATTATCAAAGAAGACCATCATAATAAAAAAAAATACTACTTACCAATTTATTCATTTTATAGGATTTTATGGTAACAAAAATGAAAGTGTTGAGGTTTTACAATTGAGGAAATTTCCTCAATATTTTATGGCTCATGGATGCAACTGAAGAAAAAGGATCTGATCTCATCTTTCTACTCACGTTCATATGTTTCCAAGTCCAAGTCAATTCATACATCCCATGACGCAGATGAAGGGGCACAATATAATGTATATATAATATGGGGTCTTTCTCAAGAATAAAATAGCCCTTGTCAATTTTAAATAATTTACATTTGTGATTCTACTTTATTTCTATGATAAAATCATTTACAGCAATAAAACAACTTAATAAAATGATGATAAAGTTAATTGGCCGCACCGAAAGGAGAATGTGGGTCCGTCTCTAAGTGTAATTCTTGTACCTCTGGTTTTAATATAAAGATAATGTAACTACATCAAAAGACATTCTTAATTAAATATATGCAAAGTAATCAGAATGGAAGAGGAACAAAGTAGAAGAAAAGATTAATGGATTTAATTGAATCGTGATCATGATGATAATACAAAAAACTTTTGATTATTGTGTTGATTATTCTCATTCGTCTTTGTTCTTCTGTGCAGTCTCTTGGAAAATTGGCCATAAGGACTAAAAAGCTTAAATATTTGGTCATGAATCATCCCAATTGATATAGAAATAAAGTTTGCAGGGAATCATGGTCCTTGAAAGATAATATGTTCCAGCAAAAATATCATAATATCCTTCCTTTTTTTTTTGGCACTCATATCCAGAGTATATATTATGGATCTAAGCAAGATTATGGGTATAGGGCTATCGGGTGATCTAGGTAAATATCTTGGGATTCCCCTACTACATTCAAGAGCCTCATACAACCATTTCAAACCCATAGTGGGTAAAAGTTCAATTGAAGTTGTCAGGATGGAAGGGTAAAATGCTTACTTTAGCTGGTAGAGATCCTCTCATCAAGTCTGTTCTTACAGCCTTACATAATTATCACATGCAAACTATGCTTCTCCCAAAGAAGTTATTGACTTAAGTTGAGAAAGCTAGCAAATCTTTTCTCTGGGGTAGTTTGGAAAATGAGAAAAAAAAGTTCATTTGTTCTCGTGGGATACGGTGAAGAGACACCTTGAAGAAGGTGGATTGGGGGTTAAAAATCTATCTCACCAAAATCAAAGCTTTTATGTTAAAACTTTGTTGGAACTTGGTGTGTGATAATGATGTGCTACAAGTTCAACTCCTAAAATCTAAATCCAAATGTGGCTCCAACACCGTACCTTTGGTTTGTTGGAGAATAGCAATCTTCTGTGACATGGAGAAGTATCCATAAAGTTTGGGGCACCTTCCTCGATGGTATTGACAAGCGCTGTATTCTAGAAGGTTATCTAATTTCTGCTGTGATAACTGGTCTGCTATGAATATGCCCTTGGTGAACTTCATTCAAAATAACAACAAACCCTTAGACCTCAAGATTAATATTGAGCAATTCATCCATGCAGATGGCTCTTGGGATTGCACTAAATGAGGAATTGGCTTCAATACTCTATTATGAATCAAATCACTAACACTAGACCACCCTGTGAGATGAGAGGGAGAGACAAATATGTCTCGGAGCCATCCATTGATGGCTCTTTTAATATCTGTTTTGCCTATGATTTTCTCTCTACAAGTACATCACCAGGGAAGGACAAAATATGGAAGTGGAACATCCCAGAAAAGATCAAAGCTTTCATCTGGTTATTGGGAAGAAAAATAAATTTCACATAGCAAGCTTGAGGGAGAAAAGGAGTATTGCTGATACAAATGCCTATCCTTTTAGGTGTGGAAAAGAGAAGGATGCAATGCATATCATTCATGACTGTATGTTAGCCTAGGACGCATAGAGATAGATAGTGAAATGGCCTAGTTTTCATAACATAAATACCTTGAATGGATCAAGTGGAACTCAAAGAACTCCCCAGGAAACAAAAATATAATGAAATTCTCATGGGTAACAGTCTTTGCTTATACATGCTGGGAACTCTAGACAGTAATATGCAAAAATCTGTTCAATGATCAAGCCGAACTCATTCAACAGATTCCAACAAAAGTTTCCTCAAAGCCATGGCTAATCAGAAGTATATAGATAAATTAAAATCTTCTCAGTTTGACAATATTTGTGGTTATACCTAGCATAAGGCCTCACAAGGCTTTGTCAGACTCGATGTTGATAGGTCTTCTAAACTCAATGGTTTAGCTACTTGTGCAGGATGCATTACTACTGATAAGGGGGAGTGGGTAATGGGTTTTTGTTGTAAACTTAGAAGCTGCCCATCTACCATTACTGAAGTCTTGGCTATCTCTGAAGGACTAGAACTATGTTGTTCTAATAGTTTCAAAAATACCGAGGTCTACTTAGACAGTGTGGAAGCCATCAACCTCATCCCTATAGGTCACCATGAAAATCATGCCTATCATGAAATTATTCAAAATGCTTGTAATTTCCTTCTTAGGGAGTGGTCTTTGTCTTTAAACTTTCTCTTTAGAGATATTATTAGTCATGCTCACTACCTTGGTAAGGAAGCTCATTTGACAGAGAGCCCTCCTTACATCTTTGATCATCCCCCACCTTACTTTAGGATAGGAGGTGAATGATGATTGATTGCTCTCTTTTTTTCTAGTCTTAGGGTCTTGTACTATGTTTCTTTTCAATCTCTTGAATGAATTTCATTTTTTAGTCAAAAAAATATGATAAGTTGCAAAGATGAAGATATTTTGTTATGAGTCCCATATCGGGAGGTCATATTAATGGAGTATGGTTTATAAGTTATCTGGGTACCCTCATTAGAATATAAAAGAAGTCTCACATCTAAAGATTAGAAGATAGATCATAAATATATAAGTTTAGGAAGTATCAAACTAAATAGCCTAAGCTATTTTAGTGGGATATACTATGCTCAAGCATACTTAATATAAGAAATCTCATATGGTAGTGAGAGAAAAAAAAGAAAAAAAGAATGAATGAAAAAAAAAAAGAGATTAAGAAGAAGAAGAAGAAGGAGAAGCAGGAGAAGGAGAAGCAGAAGAAGAAGGAGAAGCAGGAGAAGGAGAAGGAGAAGGAGAAGCAGAAGGAGAAGGAGAAGCAAAAGAAGAAGGAGAAGCAGAAGGAGAAGAAACAGAAGGAGAAGGAGAAGGAGAAGGAGAAGGAGAAGGAGAAGGAGAAGCAGAAGATGGAGGAGAAGATGAAGGAGGAGGAAAAACAACTTTATCATTTATAATAATCAATCATGGAGGAAAACTTAAAAACAACTTTATCATTTATAATAATCAATCATGCAATTTCCCAAAATCCAATTTGTCTCCTAGTAGCTACGTCATCAAAATTCTTCACAAAACTCTAATTAAATCCATGAATAATTGACACCCAAACTAAATATGTCCTTATAAAAGTTAAAGAAATTTCTTTCTTCTTGTTTTTCTAATTAAATTAAACATAACTAACCCCAACCAACTAATGGTAACATGATTTGAAACACAAACCTTTATCATCAAGTTTAGCAAAAGTTAATGAGATTTTAGAAAATTCATAGCCAAACAAAACTCATTCTAACAAACACTTTTTCAAATATGTTATAGGCACCATTGTTTAACCCATAATAACAAGTTGTTTTCTTTTTCAATCTCTTTATAATACACAATAAAATTTTATTAGGCTTGCTACCAATCCAACAAACATCCCTCTAACATTACCATAACATTCAATAGATATTCCAAAGATCAAAACATAAATAGCAATTAGTATTTGAATTATCAATGAAAATATTCTCTTCAAAATCTTTATTTCTAATTTCAACTTCCTTTCAAGCATTTTATCAAACATCTCACGTGCATTTAAATTCAAATAAGTACCAAGCCTCTTCTTCCTCAATATCCTTTCTAAAATTTCTCAATATCAATATTTAAATTAACCAATCTCTCTAAATTTCATTCTTTTAACTGAATTAAAAATAAGCTCAAATAAAATTCAAATCCACACAACATCTAACTCTAAAAGCATGAAAATTCCAGCTCCCCTAAACCCCTTCTCTATTCGAACATACACAGCAGCAAAGCAAGGGGAAAATCACAATCTCTTAAATTTAAACAAGCACGCACCAACAGGACCAACAAAGAGAAAGGAGTTCAAATATCCTCACCTTCAATCAGCAGCGAAAGAAGCTAGTCGTACAACCATGGAAAAAGGAAGAAGGTCCATCGCACACCCGCACGGAAATAAGGACAGAAAGGAAGGAGTAGCCAAGGGAGAGACTGATGAAGGACACCTTAGCAACAGAAAGAACAGGAGAGGGAGTTTTCCTGCGCATCCAGATCGCTGCTCGGACAGAGGAGGAAGAAGATGCAGGAAGGCCTGCGAAGCAGGGGAAGACGATAAAGAAATCGGACTTCACGGAATCACCATAGCGGCGGACGACCGGCATACACATGGTTGCGGGCGACAGATGAACAAAAAGGAGGAGGAAAAATGCTGAACGAAAACCAAGCCCTCCCTCCCTCTGTGTGCGTGTGTCCGTCCGTCCGTCCGTCCGTCCGCGCACTTCTAACTCTGCTCTAGCCAAATGATAGGGGTCCGAAAATACCTTGTGTTCCTTGTTCTCTGTTTTTCAAAAAAAAAATTACTAGGAGGGCATTAAGGTAATTTTGATCAAACCAAAAAATAAATAAATAAATAAATGTCCCTCTCTGGCTCCAAGAGGTTTCGAACTTGGGACTGATGATTAACTATCATAGACACAATATTATACTCAAATAAAACAAGTTGCACGATGAAAAGGATGAAATATAATGGAGATCAATTCAGCAATGAGAGTCATTAATACAGTACGGAAATGATGTTCAAACATACTCCCTCCATGAAGTCTTTTAAAACTTTTTTTTTTTAAATATAAAAAATTATTAGCATATTTTTTAATAAATGAACTATTATACCTTATTAAATTGAAAGGAAAAAAAAGTATTCTCATTAATTTACTTTGAAAAAAGATATTCATTTTTTATTTATATAATTAGGGATAAAATTAAAATAGTGCTGTGCTTTTAATTAAATAATCAAATTTTATTAGTTTATGTGATTCAATTAAAAACATCTTATATATAGGGATGGAGTAAGTAAGCAACAAGTAACAGAGAGCAAAAATGCCGAGTAGTCTATCCAAAGAGAAAAGAGAATGTCAAAAGGAAATTCACAATAATCACGCGTCTGCATCCAAATGCTCATCAAGATTAGGAGCAATCATGGCCTTTCATTTTAGCCCAAATTAATTCTCACTGACCATTTAAATTAAATTTTAAATATTGTTAATATTATATTTATTAAATAAAAAATATAAAAAATTTAATATTAAATCTGGACTATTTAAAGTACATTTAAATAGTTAATTTGTATAATTTATAAATTTTTTAATATTAAATTAAGTCATCTAAATTATATTTAAACTGTTCATAGTTTATCTGGACAGTCAAATTGTATAATTAAAAAAATTAATATTAAATTAGACTACTAGATTAAATCTGTACTGATCAGATTGATAATGAACAAATTTATGAAAATTTTAAATGTTTTATATTAATAAATATATATTAAAAATATTTAAATAAATAATTTAAATAAATGACAAAAATTAATTTACAATGAAATGAAGGATTAAAGTTGTTCTTAATCTTAATAAGCGCGCAGTGCTCATCACATCAAAAGCAAATCCGAATAACCACAATCATGCCTCATCCTCTCACGTCCGCCCATTACATAGCCTCCTCGTCATCTAGCTCACATGATTTCCACGTGAATTTCCTCCCACGCGTGCTTCTGTGTACCTCCAGTTGCGTACCACCTTCATGCCTCTTGTAGCCCATGTCCCACAGCCCACTTTCTTGATCTATCTGCCTCTTGGGTTTATGCACGTCCACGACACTAACTTGCCAGCACAATCGCCGCCACGAGACCATATTTCCTTCTTGTCGTATGTATTCCAAAAATTAATAAAAATAAGCTCATAATACTTTATCATCATTTTTAATTTTTATTTAAATTCCTGTGTTCTTACAGTACGTGTATAATTTTATTATATAACATTAAATTCATATAAAAGTTTAAACCACGTGACTTATTTTATTAGATACTCTTCTAGTCCTATTTTCAGGGCAAAGAAAGAAAATTAATTTTGAGTCCTATTTATAGAATATTTTATTATTTTCTATGTTTATATTTACCTTTCTACCCTTAATTATTAATTGCTAGAAAAAAATTATCAAAAATAATTTTTATTATTTTTATTAAGAGTAAAGGTGAAAACTTAATAAATTTTAAAATAAAGTTAATAAAATTTAAGATTTTTTTTAATTCATATAAAAATGCTAAGAGTGATGTCTAAATAAGGTTAAAGAAATATTGTGATATTATATAGCAAGTTGATGCAGTATGTATAAAGTCATGTACTAACAAATTTTCCTGAATCTAGTAGATATATTAGTTGTAAAGAGTAATGACAATCTGTTAATGTCTAATTGACATATCAATGTTTTATTGACTAGGACTTTCTAGTCAGTTTATGGAAGGTTTCCTCTCCTCAATTAATATTCATTCAATATTTAATATAAAATTTAACATAGATTTTAATAACATAGAATTTTAGAAAAGTTACATAATACATGATAGAAAGAATTACAATCAGTTGTTAAATAAAAAATTAAATATTTCTTCAATCTATTGAATTACAACTCAAATTTCTATATTCACATATTAAATTTTAGTATTTACAAGTTGACAGGATTTACAAGTAATTAATTTTTGGATATATCTGTACCTATATATACATAATTCTCCCTACATAATATATGTACACACGCACAAAGTTAAATAACACAAGTCATAACTCATTCATTAGTTTCCATACATAAGTCCACACATAAGTTTGGAAAAATTACAACTAGAAATCTTATAAAAAAAATCAATGACAATTGAAAAATGTCAAAATTAGATATTGAAATGCCAAAAATGAATCACAAGGTCTTTATTTGCAATTAAAATATTTCTAGTTATTGGAATAATCAAAAGAAGGTCACTTATGAATTTAAGGAAAGTTGATTGTGAATTTAAAGATCACTTGTGAATATAAGGAGAGTCAATTGAGAATTGATATATAGCATTACTTGTAAATTTAAAGAGGATTATCACTTGTGAATTTGTGGAAAGTCACTGGTGGATTTATAGAAAGTCTATTTACAATTGATTTACAATTAAGACTATTTATATACATTTATAATTGACATTCCATATATATATAAGTAACATTTTTTAAAGGAAAAATAGCAATAAGGGACTGTTCGAAGAAATTTATATTAATCAAAGAATAGTTGTTGTCAAAATTCAAATGAAATAAAGCTTGAATAGATTATTGTTAATTTAGAATGAGTTATTGTTAAAACCTAAATAAATACTCATTAATAAAAGACTATTCATCGTGTGAACAATAAATATCAAATGTGCCAGAGATGCTGAATCTCAATTGATAATAAAAGGGTCCCAAGCTCCCTTACCACAGTCCACTTGAATATAAAAGATATATAAGGCTTGGTAGAATAAGTGTTTTTTGATTTTTTATTAAAATGTAAAAGGATTACAAGTCTAAATTGAAGATAATCTAAATGTTAAAACTAAAAGCTAAAGGTGTAGATTGCGAGTCTTTGCTTGAGTGTTGATTTCTTTCTTTAGTGTTTTCGTCTTCCATTTATAATGTCAGAATTGTGATAGCCTTCCCCTTAAGACCTAGAACATTTTGCCGAAGAATCAGGAATCCCATGAAACTTATGGCAATGTCTTAACTCAATATTCTCCACTTTTGGTAAGTAGCCTGTCTCATCGAGGTACTTGGGCACGATGTCTGGGATTTTGAAATTACTTGAGATTATGTTTTGATGTACCAATGGTCTAATGTTTGCAACTAGTGGGATTTCAACATGTTTATTTTATCGTGGTCTTTTATTGAGCTTCGGGTCTGGCTCCTTTGTTCAAATTGGGTCTGACTCTTCAGTTACTCAGCCTAAATAGCCTTGTGGCCTATTTGAGCGATGTTTCATATTTCAACCTAAACAATGCCCCCTGCGTGCCAGTGGCTGATAACATAAGCCATGTGGCACATTTGAAAAACTAAAATGTCACTTCATCTCTAAGCGCCCTTTGTTAATATAAACTTATTTCTTTTCTAGTCACTTGCCTTTTCTACCGTTTCTTGACTTTTAAGCTTTTGCATCCTTTGCTCTAATCTTCACTTTGCTTACAAATGGCTTCCTCTACTTTTGTCATGCCTCTATTATTGCTCCATCTTTCACATCTATCAGAAGTTTGCCTCCCTGGCTACTATCCAAAATCCTATCGCCTCACTTAAAGTACTAGTAATGGTATATATTTAATTGCCAAAAACCCTTATTTCCCCTAGATTAGGTCCTCATTCTGATATTTATTTATTTTCACTACAGGAGGATTCTTCATTTCATGATTCTATCACTTTCTGGCAAGCTATTCACTTTTTTGTTTAGCCCTTCTTTTTATTAAGGATAAAAATATTAACTATTCATTATTTTCTCAGTACTTCTCCCTAGAGTTTCCAAATCTCCAACAAAGTGACGTCAGGTACTTGACTATCTCTCCTGACCTTTTCAAAGTGATGGCTCTTACTCAGCTGAATCTATGGCCACTAACCTTAGTTCACAATTTGATTTTAGCCCAGATGACCTCGCCCTTCCTCGAGACATCCTACTAGGAGCTTTGGAATTGGCCCCTGTCTCCTCGCGCTTGGGTCAACTGGGTGAGACATTTAAAGCAAACCTATATGCATCAGTAGAAGGAGATAGGTCTCTATGACTTTATCTGGCTTTCCTTGGCCAATGTTGACATTCCAGTCAACCTACTAATGGCCCTTCTGAATTTCTAAGCTCTAGGTTACAATGCTTTCAAATTTGAGCTAAGTCCCATGTCAATCACATATTATGGGACATCTTTATGTACCTAAGGTTGCCTATCACCGGGGAGGAGAATTTCTATGCAATCCTCAAAAAACATGATTCCTACGTCACCCTCTCAGCTGAATTGGAGAGCAAGATTAAGGGTGTGGCTTCTACATAAAAATCATTAAGCTATTCTCTGATAAGCCAATTGACGAGCTTGTCACCCTTACAAAGCACCTGGTTCATTTGAATTTCGCTGAGCTAATGGATCTTGGCCTAGAGGGAGGGAAGCCCGTGTAGCTACACCTGCGGATCACCTAGTCCCTCTTTTATGTCAACCAAATAGCTTTGAGGACTATTTTTGGGCTGTCTGTATGATGGCATGAAGGAGCTTTTGATGAAGAAGCCCTTCAACAACTTCTATAGGCCCATCTAGTTCTTAAGGCTGTAAATGATAGCTTACTTCCCTCTGCTCCATCAGGAACCTTTCCCGAGGATTCCCATGCCAACCACCTCTTCAGTTGCCTTTTGGGTGGTCATCCTCTGATAGAGTCATAAAACTTCTTTAAGTTCTTCAATCAATAGAGTTAGTCCTTATGAAGGACCTTGAAGCCCTT